GCATTCCGTGCACCATCTTACACTAGTACTTGATGCTTGGTCCTTGCACTTGATAAGTACTCAAAGGTTGCTTTTAATAGTAATGTTAAATTACAGATTTTTTGATAGACAATTGGAGTTTCGTATAGCTTTGGATGTATCGCATGGTTCTAAAAGATCTAGCTGGAAAATACGAATAATTGATTATCAGATTTTAAAAAATTCTTAATAAGAGTTGCATTTCTCATGGTCCATGAATATTGGGTTGTTGAATATAACTGAATTGACTAATTCTAATCATAAACTGGATTTCTAAGAAGCCTAAAATTATTGTGTTGAGATTGAAGTGTGTTGAGGTGCATTACATTTTTTTCTCATTCCTAAACAGAAAGAAACAACGCTTTCAGGATCTATTATAAACAAGGCTTTGGGATATTTTCGTCTTCATCCAGATATTATATGCTCTATTTTAAGAAGAGAATAATCTTATGAAACTAGGATAGTCACAAGGCTCATTAAATTTTGTAGGTTAATTAACAGCCATAACCATTATGAACTGTGACTTATTTTTTACAGGCTAGCACTTTTTTACTTCAGTGAAAATTAATCACTACTGCTTGGAAACAAAAATTAGACAAACTGAGTGAGTGTAATTTTGCCTACATTATAGTCCTAAAGTTAGAATTTAAAGACCAGTTACTTAAATGGGAGGCATCTGGGCCTGGCTGTGTGCCTCATCCTGTGAATGAAGACCAATAAATCATAATGAGTTTCGTGTAGTAAAAGCAAGACTCTGCTGAGTCTTCTGATATTTCCTCGTAGATGCTTAATTATTTACATTGCTTCTAGGATGTTATATTGAAAATTTTTCATGGTCTTGGCACATATGCTTGTTTTTCTAGGCGGAAGTTCTTGCAGCCATGCATGGAGTAGGATTTTCAGTCTTTAATCACCTATTAGGCTGCCTGTTGGAGTTTACCCAGAAGAGTTTAGCCCTGCCCATACCAACTTCCTCTGCCAGCCTTTATAAAGAGGCGGGGGTGGCGGGGAATCTGGCCGCTTCGGTTAGATGCTCTCGTTTTCATTAACAGAACATTAAACTACTCTTCTCCTGGTTGGTATGCAAAGATATGAATTCATACCTCAAAGTTTCTGCCCTGAAGTTTGGGCCAGCGACAGTGACATTGTATTCTCTACTACATATCGTAATTCTCAACAGCCCAATAATTAGAAACGTCACTTTCGGAGGACCGTAAAAGACCTGCATGCAAGACCTGTATTCTTACAAATCAGAGATGCCAGATAGATTGTCGCTCGCAGCCACTCTCCCATTCTGCAATGTTAATCAGTCACAACACTTTAACCTTCTGAGTGTGGACTCAGCCACAAAACGTCCCAGCACAGTTATTCAGGCAGCTTCTATGAATGAATTAGAGTTGAAATATAATTTGAAACCTACTTGCTGTCCTGGGTAACAATAATCTAAATGCTACCCTGGATTAGGCCAGACCAGGGTTTGTGTGCTCTACTCAGTTGAACAGGAGAGTTTGGATAGTTCATAGCATCAATTTAATGTGCTGTGCTTTGCGATCGTAGCAATGGTTTCCACTGAGGGGAGCTGTGTAAATCCTTGTGACACTTATATCCCACTTAGCTCACATCATCTTTATAAGGACTTGGGATGTCTCTTGGTACTGAAAATCAGAAAAAACTGTACTCAAAATCAACCAAACAAAAATCCTAACTTTTATATGTCATGAACACTGGAACACCTTAAAATGACTGTCGTTCTCTCTTTCGATGGGCGTTCAAAGCTTACAGTCAAATCTCTGGCTTCCTTTAACAAGGACATTTTCCTTTGTGCTCACAAGGAAAAAGTTTAGGGCCCAGTGGCTTACCTACTTGTCTTTCCTTTCAGTTCCCTTTTCCTTGATTCCTTCAGTCATGTCTTTTTATCCAGTATTGTCTATATTTTCATAAGTTGCATCAAATCATCTGTGCAAGAAAGGAGCTATTGCTCATTATGTAAAAATTAACACAGTAACTTACACACTCTGTATTTGGTCTCATTTCCTGTTATTTTTTTAAGGCAAGAAATGAATGACATGTAAAACATTTTGCATAAATGAAGCAGAGTTCTCAGGGTCAGAGTGAGCCTAATGAAAGCGTTCTGTTGAAAAGTTATTTTCTCCGTGTTCCTTCAAGCACGGTATTTCTGGATGTTCTCACTGTCTTTGAGACAGAAATGGAATGGAGGGTGGGAAGGGAAGAGAAGGAAACTAATATGTGATCCTAAAGTCTTTATTGCTGGCATACGAAGAATTATACGTTGTCATTCTTGCTATTGTGGAGCAGGAAAAAAATGTAGCTTTTCTCACTAGTTAAAAGCGGCAGACATTCAGTGAAGATTTATTGAGAACTTATAGTGCTTTAGTAAGTATAAAAGTGGTTTCCTATGTTTTCTGTCCAAAAATATTTCAACTGATCAGACCAAGAAGACCTATGGTTACTGTCAAATGACAGTAACTACAAACTCTTTAGTAATGAGTTCTATGTCCTTTATTCAAGGGAAAATGATCCATGGATTGGGTGGACTGGGGGCGTACAGTGTCTCACAAGTAGAGGAACGCT